AATCGTAAATTGCTTTGACTCCAGCTTCTGTCTACTGCCATAAAATGGACCCCACATCAGAATAATGAGGGTGGTATGTGTGCCCACACCTGGAGGGTGTGCATATGTACCTATGGTACCTTCGCAGAAGGAAAACAGGCTACTGACGTTTAAGAGGAGTAGCCACCAGTGCCTAATATCTTTTCGGGGGATGGATGCTTATAATGCCAGTATACTGAAACCACACTGGGAGTTCCACACAGAGGGGAGGGGCTGCGGGTGGGAGAGGGGACCTTTTATTCCTAGGCCTTTGGACCGGAGGCAGAATGCTTTCTGCCAGTCTCGGTCCAGAAAGGCTTTTGGGCTCATTGGCTGGTTCTCAACCTGTTTGGGTTTTTTTCCCAGCATGCATTTTCTACCTAAGCTCAGACTTAGTTTAATTTCCTTATCTTTCACTTCTGCTTCATTCCAGGGAGGAAAAGTACACCTGTTATGGCCAAGATCTCCTTGCTAACACAGAGGCAAAAATAAATGTTTCATGTTTTTGAAGCCTCCCCTTCCTTTTCACAAACCCTCCCAGAGCCCTCCCCTCTCGCCACCCCTCCCCACTCCCGCCACACGACTCCCCGGCCCCCACCACCTTTCTTCCAGATCTCTCTTCTCCTCTGAACAGTTGCTTGAGAAGTTTGTTTTGCACTGTCGTTTTCTTTTTGCCGGATGTGTCTGACAAGTGTGTTTGGAGAGACCGACTCGCAGCCCCGCCCCGGTCACATTCTCTCAGGCCTTCTCTGGTATTTATAATATATCACAGAAGTACCCAGTCTTAGAGCCCTCGGTTATGCCTTTTTTTGACATTTTATTTTTTTTAAGCTTTTTATATATATATATAAATATATTACTTTGTCAAGTTTTTTTGCTGTACAAAAGTCTTAAGATTTAAAACTATTATTTGTATTATATGATGGTGGTATGTTAATGTTACAAAATTATTAATGAAGAAAAAATTTATTTTTGTTACTGGTCTGTTTCATAATTCTTTTTTAAATTGGTATATTGTAAGATATCTATGCAAAAAATGTTATGTGACGCATTTTTATTTAAGAATGTAATATGTGTAATAAACAGTAGAATGTGTTTGGCCTTGGAATGCTTTACTGTATTTCTCGTTAGCTTTTTTCATCAGGAAAAAGAAAGCCTAAAAGAGACATAAATGGGTCCTTATAGACCTCACGAGAGTTTTCTTTCTCAGAGAAAAGGAAAGCGAAAGACTGTGTTAGATCATTTTTCTCTGTTTGGAGGGCAGGAGTGTGTGTGTGCGTGTGCGTGTGTGTGTGTGCTTTATGGTTTCACTGAGGCAGCTCAGTGCCCACATTGGAAGGAGCACTGAAGACAGTTTATTTCTTCGAGGGGAGGCAGGGAGCAAATGGTTGGAGGTTATGAAAACAATATTTTAGAACAAGGTGGATTGTGGGATGTTATTTGTTTAGGGGGTTAGGAGAGGCTTATTGAAAGCAGTTTATTTGGTGAAAGCAGGGGAAAGTTGGTTCTGGGATGGTGTTAAATAGGAGGACATTTGCTTGACTTGAAGCTTGTGGGAGAGGGCGGAAGGGCAAAGGTCAGAAGGCATCATTTAAGTGAGGGTGGGAGGTTGGTAACAAAGTGAGGAAGAGACAGCTAACCAGAGGCAGAGAAATTTGAGTGGTATACAGTACAAGAAGGAAGATGCAGATGTAGCCAGCCTCAAACCCCGGGAAGACGAGATGACAGGCCTGGGGACGTGCTCAGAACTGAAGAGAACACTGACTCAGATCTTCTCTTCCACACGTGACTCCAGGAAAGAGCATCACAGTGAGGAGGAAGGGAGAGTCTCCACTGCGTCATGAGCCCCCAGAAAGTGGCATTGTTAGCTGGAAACAATAAACACGTTCGTCATTTACACGGACACAATACTGGTCAAGCTTGCTTTTCATGCTTTGGACTTACAGTGACAGATGACAGTGGTGAATCACTTCTATCCCTCATCAAATGAATCTGACAAGAAACTTGAATAAAATTTCTCGTTAAAGACGGTGGCTACAGGGACTGGACTTGCTGGATGGTGCAGTCCTGAGCAGGAAAGCAGGTGTGAGAGCGATTGGGTCCCCCCCTAGTAAGACTTAAGGTAAAGAGAACACTAGATGCTACAGGCCAGGGAGGTGTTTTCGAAAAGTGTGAATACCAGCTGCCACATCTCCCGAGCAGGCAAGGCTGGCTGACGAGAAACTACAGGATCCAGTGGGAAAAGCACTGGCCCAGGGTCCGCACACCTCCCTCCCAGTCCCTCGTCACTCAGTGACTAGACGAGTAGTTTAATTCTTATAACCAAAGTCGTTTGCCCAGAAATTTCTTTGCATGAGGGAGGATAAGATAACTTTGCAGTATTATTATTCTGTAATAATAAACCTGACTTGCAAAAGAATATCAATTTGGACATTTTAGGTGGAGGACAGCTTGCACTGTGCTGAAGTGTTACGAGGAGAGGGTTAAGACTATTTGGCATAAGGAAACGAGATGGTTTACATAAGTGAATATTCTAGACGACTGAAGCTTCCATATTTAGAGGCATAAACTTTCTTAGAATATGTCTAAAAATACATTACCCACTTCACAACCTTTTCGAGCATCCATTTTTGCAACATGATATAAATTCAGGGATGACTCCAGACTGTGGGGTTGCTTGGCCGTACACTGAAGGACTCCACACTTCATCCTGGGTGACCCGACTTTGTCTGCTGTGCTAACCCTATTTGGAAGTTACAAGTTCTTTGAGTCGTCCTCTAGCAATATTCATCTCCTTGTTAACCAGCAGATCAGAGGAGCAAGCTTGATAACCTAGAAAGTGCAAAAATGACTACAATTTGAATTCAACAGGCAGTGGTGGGACAGTGTGCCCTGGGTGTCCCAGGGGAGTCCAGTTCATGAGCCCTGTGATAGCTGTGGTCTGAGGATTCATATCCATTTGGGAATTCTGGGCTCCCGGAAAGGAACTGCAGAAAAAGCAGAGCTCAGTGGAATTGATAAATAATTTAGTATTATCTAGCTAATCTCCCACTTATGGTTATAGGTTTAGAAGAGGAGATGGTTAAAGCTTTTAACTGAAACAAGATTTTGAGGCGACTGGTAGGCAGTGGTTTTCTGGGTTATCCATGATGAGCAAATTCACGATTCTTTCTCCAACATTAAATATTTTATCTTAGCTATTAAAAATTATTGATATTGACTGGCTTGAACATAACCTATTACTTTTTCAAAAATTCTGCCTGATTCTAATATAGTTATACATACCACCGTACTACCTTAAAATGTTGAAATGACAGCAAAGACATTACAAGAGAATGGGAGGATGAGATTTACGTTTGTATGGAATTTTCCGCTTCTCGTATACTGCATTTGAGCTGTTCCACAAGACTGCATAGTAATGGAGTAGGTATCGTTCTCCACCATGACTCTTTGCCCTCCCAGATGGAGAAACGGGGTCAAAGAGGACACGTGACTTTGGCAAGGCCCAGGGACACAGTAAGTGGCAAAGCTGCACATAGGTCCCCAGACACTCAATCCGGAAATGACTTTCCTCTATAGCTCACTGCTTCTGGGTAACCAAGAGTTAAACGGATGCTTATGTGTGTCTGGCCTTGACATCACCATTGGCAACACTGACTTAATTTCCCCATTTTCTCCCCATTAGTCACAGAAGGTGACCTATAAGGTAGATAAGTCATTGCATGCTAGAACTAGAAGGTATCTTGCAGACCTCCTTCAACGCCACCATGGCATGTAAGTAAACTGAGGCTCACTGAGGTTGTAACTTGCCCAAGTTGACAGAGCACATCCTTTGCAGGACAGGAGTCAGCCCGGGGTTCTTGATATGCATAACGCTCTACTGGTCTTTGTGGTGTTTCTTAAACTTTAGTCAGGTGAGTTCAACCTTCAAGATTATTCCAGTATCCTTGCACTATTACTTCCTTAATATTTTTCTTTAAATTGACCCACTTCTTAAAAGTTTAAATACCTGTTTTAGTTTTATCCTAAGCAAAAATATTCTGGAAACCACTGATTTGACTGTTTTCCCTTTAAATACAAATGGAAATAAATATATAACTCAAAATAGAAATGCTCATCTTTGTGTTGCATTAAGAGACTGGGTTACCACCGAAGGTGCTGGAGAGGCCAGTTCTGTGCTGTTCTGTGAAAGCTATTCTGTACCGTTTCTCTTTAGCTAATTATTTAGTGCGTATGATGCTCCTTGGAGCACATTTCAAATTGAATCTAAAGCTAAGTGCATGTGAAAATTTAATAAAGACTGATTTGATGACTGGGAAGTTACTTAAGGACCCAGAGGTCCCCCAGGAGGAAGAAGGCCATGTGGCCGTGAATGAAGCAGTGCATTGTCCACCCTGCCTTCGCATCCTTGGAACAGGGTCTTGCAGGATCTTCCCTCAGGGAGAGGCACTCTCAGCAGATGGGCTCGTGGCCAGTTCATGCCATTATTCTGGGAATGGAGCTTGGGCCTTAGGCATCGACTGCTTCAAGGAAGTCACTCTTTCCTTGTGCCCGCCCCCGCCCCCCCCCCCCCAGTCAATAGTCAATGTCTAGAAACAAATGCATGCTATGAAATACATGCATGCTTCAAAAACTGTGCTCACCTTCATGGCACGTCTCCTGGCATCCCTAGTCCACTGCCTATGCATGCACACAGACATGCAGCTCAGCTCCCAAAATTTTTTGGGGGACCAGCTTCCAGGCTCCTGATAGTCTACTACTAAATGTTAATTTTTTGTCTAAAAGCTTCTCTATTTTTTTTTGAGGAAGATTAGCCCTGAGCTAACATCTGCTGCCAATCCTCCTCTTTTTTTTTTTTCTTTTTTTTACCGAGGAAGACTGGCCCAGAGCTAACATCCATGCCCATCTTCCTCTACTTTATATGTGGGATGCCTACTGCAGCAGGGCTAGCCAAGCAGTGCCATGTCTGCACCCAGGATCTTAACCAGTGAACCCTGGGCCACCTAAGCAGAACGTACGCACTTAACCGCTGTGCCACCAGGCCGGCCCCAAAGCTTCCCTATTTTTGAAGTACAACTAACCAGGAAGAGGTAACTCTTTATGTTTTATCCACCGTGTGTTCCTTAATGTGAGTGAGTTTATCCCATCCTTTCACAAGAAAAGGCTTTAAGTGATGAGAGATATGGGGATTATGGATAGGAAAAAATATAGAAGCAGGTGGCCAACATTGGGACACAGGAGGTGAGGAGAGGTAAGCCGTCAGGCAGGCATGTCGCCAAGGAGCCCCAGGATGGTCAGTGACGTCATAAAGGGACTGACGCAATATCTTGTTGCAGTTTCCTACGTGATCAAAAAGAGAATCTACAGGAGTCTGGGTCTGCAGGCTTATCACAGGGACCAGCCACCAACGAATGGGTGGGCTCCAGTTAGATAATCGTGGCCATGACAGGTCCCTGGTTGCTGGGCTTGATTCTGTTCCTTGAAGCAAGAGCTTCCAGGGTCCTGGTCTTGTGAGCAGAAAGTTAAGGTTCCTGAAGATGGGAATGTGCTTGAGTCACTTGGGGAATATTTAAAGGGTCATAGCTGGTGAACTCCAAATAACATCAGAGCCTAAGCAGTGGCGACATACTTCCTGCAGCTACACAACATACTATGTTCTTGGGGTTAAGTTTGCAGACTGTTCTGACAAGTACAGGAGGTGGGATTATGGGGTTGCTAGGCAAGGAACCCACGCTGTAAGGAATAAAGCCCCTGATCTTACTTACGTGCTGCGGCGAACTCATGGGACCAAGACCGAAAGGTTTGCACTTGAAACCTTAAATGGATTGACTCAAGCTTGTTACAAAATCGTTTTCCATCCCTGCTTAGAAATATTGAATTACACTCTAATGCACATGGTACATGATGACAACGTTAATGAATGGCCAAAATGTGAACCTTGTCTTTGGTTCTGGGAACTTTTAACACCTTTCTGTTCCCAATCTTGACTTCTTTTTCATTTTTCTTCCCATTTGTTCTCTTTTCCTCTTTCTTCTCTGCCTCCTGGTATCTGCAAAAACCATGTGAGGAAGGGGCTCTGAAGCCCATGTTGGGCCCCCTCTGGTGCTGTCCCAGTGACCTGGCCCGTCTTTCCAGGCACTCCTTTCTCCTCCCCCACCTCCTCTGCCCCTTTACAGCTTCACGATTGCCCAGTTGGAGGCGTCCATTTGCAGCATAATTTAAAATGGTGCCACTAAGAGAACGGTTTTGCTTGTCTTCCTGGTTTCCTTAGGTACAGTGAGCAAGAGAGAGCTGCAGGCTGGCATGGAGGAACAACGCAGCCTCCTTCCTTGAACACCGTGCCAGGCCGCACGTCACTCACCTGGGACACGCGCGTTTATAAGATGTGTCAGCCATATACATATCCATTGAATGTTTCTTAAAGAGACATGTCAGCAATAATAAAATAATAACTAGCTATTTGGTGAGTCCTGGTCAGCATTGTAAAACATTGAATGTAGATCTCTTTCCTTAGCTCGCAGTGCTATACATTATGATACAGGTGGGCTCTGATTTATGCAACGTAATTATTCCCCAGATGGAAACTGCCGTCTGTTTACATGCATGCAGCAGCCTACTGTGTGAGCGTTTCTCAGGGTGCCAGGCCAGGGGGTTCCCAGGCCAATGACCACTCGAAGCAGAATCATCGCGAGTTCTTTTTAAAAATGCAATTTTCTGAGTCTCCTCCCAGACCGGAATCAAGATTTTTAGGGGTAGGTCCTGGTCATCTGCATTTTAACAGGTTCTCTCAGGGTCATTTTCAGAACACCTCAGAGTCTGAAAAACACTCGCATAGAAACCAAAGCAACATTTTAAAATAACAAGTGTTCTCTAGTTTCTGTTCTGTGAAAATATGAGTTTTCACAGGCACCTGCGATTTGCTCAGTGTGTGCTAGTCTCCTCGGCGGACTGCACTGGTTTGAGAGCTGCCACCCTGAGGGCTGCCCTGCACACTCACCACGGGGCGGCTTCCAGGGAGCTAGCTGGTCAGGTAAAGTCCAGGAACCGTCTCTCGACAGCTTGCTAACTCGGGCCTTCCCTGGGCCTTTGCTTAGAAACGACCCCTGGTGCTGACTTTGGGGACGTGAGTTTTGTTCTGTTGATTTTATTCAAGCCTCTTCTCTGGCCTTGGCGGCTCATGCCCTCGCTGAGATGATGTCTGGCAGAGGCCCTCCTGGAGCACAGGGACGTCAGCCCATTCCCGGGCCAGGAGGACGCATCTGCTCTAGGTAAGACCGCAGTCAGCACCCTGCCCTCGGCTTCTAAGAGGCCAACGACCCCCTCTCTGTGTCAAGTCCTATTTGTTTTTAAGCCTTGGCCTCTTTCGTCACTGCCGCCTGTACGCCTTTAAGTCCATCTTCTTGGCAGAAGCCACCTGGGACTGAGAACCCCTAGGACCCCAGTCTCTGCTGTCTGTCAGCAAAGCCCTGTGAACTAAGCCCCCAGTGCACATGCAGATCCGATCAACTAACCAGGGGAAGGAATCCACGTCACAGCTGGAGAATATGGGCTTTTCTGTATTCTGAGACAGTTATTCTAAAAATAGCCCTGTGGAAGATCTAGCAGGGAAAAGCAGGAGCAAAAGAGGAATTTTCAAAATGACTCTGAGAGCTCTTCAGGGAAAATGTCAGATACGGTCTCCTGCCATCTCCTTCCTCTGACCCCCTGCGGAAGAGGGGCTGGCTCAGCGGACAGGAAGGGAATTGTAAATCTGCGCTAATTTGGGAAGGGAGGGATGGAGCAGACCCTTGGCAATCAGCAGAGCGGCATCTTGCTTTCTGTCAGCGTTTCGGGCTCTGCTGCTGAATGTGATCCTGCTGCCCCGGAGCCGAAGCGAGGTCACTGGGGCCTCCGGTGTGATCCCTGGTGTGCACCACTCCCCACCATCGGGAGTCAAGTCCCCTGCTTCCAGCTGGAGGAAAGGTTGTCCGTGAAGCTCTACATCCTCTTGACCCGTTATTATTACTTCATGATCCCCAAGAAAGAGAGAAGAGTGACCGATTTCTCTTTCCTTAGCCCATGTTTGCAGGATGGGAGGTACAAAGGCCACTTAAGGTCTCGTCCACTCCTGAAAGTGCTGATAGGGGAGGAAACGGGGAGATGCCACCACAGCGGGAACACGGACTGGACTGTCCTGCACTGACTAAGCTCCAGGAGGAAGGCCTGGCTCAGCCGCGCCAGGAAAAGGATGCAGAGTGTGTGTTTCCTCGTCCTGGAAAGGAGAGGGTAGAGAAAACGCTTTGACTGAAAAGCGAGAGCACTAATTGATTGCTAATGACTACGCAGCCCCAAATGTCTGGAATTTGGTTTAGATTCAATGTAATTTCACATTTGCCAACCACTATTAAATCCCTTTGATGTGCTCCCCGTGCAGCGGCCATGAGCCGCTGATTGGCTCCGGGGTGGAAAACGAGTCTGGCTGGCACGGCGTCCACGGGGGTCTGGCAGGCGGCCACTGTCACCCGACTACCCTCAGCTCTGCTGGGCTCGCTCGGCCTGGCGCTCCCGACACTGGTCTTCTCTGGCCTCTTTTCTGCTCTGCAGGCTCCTGCTCTTGTTTCTCCTCCTTCTCAAGGTTGTAGTCCCTTTCCAGGACCAGTTCCCCTCCTCCTTTCAAAGCAAAACAGAGCCTTTGCTCTTTCCGGCTTCTCTAACTCGGAAGTCAACATCTCTTTACAAAGAACAAAAATTTACTACAATTCTATCAAAATAAAAAGATTAAGAAAAAGATGCAGGGAGAGTTCATGGAAACCCTTTTGTGGGAAAATAGTCCCTGGGGAACGGGAGAGTGGCTGGGCTTCCCCCCTTGCTGCCCCCTCTCTTTCGTATTCCATTTCTGTTTGTTTTTGGCTGTTGCTCTGCCCTTCCTTCCACAAACAAGCTCCTTTGCTCCCTCAGGCGTTGTGTATGGTCCAGCATACCTTCCCCCGGGCTGCACCCAAATCACTCCCTTTGTTCCAGCCTCTACAGGACCTGTCACCGCTGCCCACAGGAACTGACCTGAGTAGTCCCAAGGCCCCCATTCTAATTCCCCAGGAGGAAGAATATAATTGGCCAGGCTCAGGTCTAGGCTCTTCCCCGACTGAATCAGCTGGGGGGCGGGGCATGGGCAAGGTGCAGAGTGTGCATCCTTCCAGGGCAGAGAGTGGGCCGTGGGCAAGAGGAGGAGGTGGGCAGCCCGGTGCGCTCCCTCAGGGCACTGTCCAGGAGCCCACCTCTTCCGTTTGGGCCCAGCGTCTCAGAGCGTCCAGCATAGCCTTGCAAGAAGTTCCGTTGCTCATGTTCATAATTTGTCACATACGCCAACACTTGCGCTGACCGCTCGCTTCCCCAGAACCAGCTCCTCCTCATCCACATCTGTTACTTCTCCTTTCAAAAGATTTAGGAGGGAAAAAAAATCAGAAAACCTTTCAAGTCGGTTCCATGAGAACCAAGAGAAAAGCTGCGGCAATGGGAGAAAAAACACCTAATTCCACGACATTGGGGACAAATATGGGCTTCCTTCTTAACTCAAGTGTGAAGCAGCATGGGGTATGGGCAGGAAGGACAGCAGACGAGGAGTTAGGACTTGTTTCCTGGCTCTGACTGTGCCTCTGGTGAGCTGTGTGACCTGAGGTCAATCACTTAGCCTTTCTGGGCCTGACTTTTTTCCTGAAAAATAGAGAATAGATTAGTTGAATCATTGAGTCTTTTCTTATTCTTAAATTCTGTGATAATATAATTTCGAGAAATATTTGATACAAAAATTATAAAACAGCAAAAGAATTTGAATGATCTAAGAGAATTGTTCATCTCCCCATTCATTCTTTTTGTCCATTAAACAGAAATTTATTGAGAGTGTTTAACGTGCTGGCTAATCTCAGTTCTAGACTCTGAATGTGCAAAGGGCAGCAGAGAGCCGATCCCCCCACTCACAAATGCCACAATTTAGCTTGTAAGGGAAAATCTCTGTCATCTATGTTGCAGTGTTTCTGAGGTAAACTTCCTTTTCGCTTAGTGCTGCCTTCTCCCCTAGAACTCTGCACACACTGAGGCCATGGGGCTCCCTTCTCTCTGCCTAACTGGGACTGCGGCCTCTGCTCTCTGGGTAAAAACACTCTGAAACCCTAACACTTAACTGCTCTGGGAGGACATGGACGTGGCTGGACAGAGAAATCGACCCGCTTTCCCATCTCCTTCTGTCAGGTGCTTCTAACAGGACTTCCTCTGTAGGCTGGGAATAAGTTCCAGAAACATCGGATGCCTTTATGTTCAAAGGTAGATGCAACAGCATCGTGAAACACAACCAGACACTGATTATGAGCCATCGCCATGTTGAGTGGCTGACCTCTGCCAACTGCTTGAGGACCGTTTCAGGAATTACACGAGTTAAGACCCAGGAATGACGGGCACTGGGCCGGGCACATCTACGCGCTCAGTGAGTGCTGGCGTCGTGATCGTTACTCCTCCAAACCCTCGACATCCCCCGGAGGGCTTCCTGGATCCCAGTATAACACAGTCCTGGAGGAAATGCACAGGCTGCCCACACTCGCCCCATGTCTTGCATTGGTGGCCTGTGCGGGGGGATCAGGGAAGGAAGGACAAAGGAGGGGAGCTCCCTTTGTGCCACACAGCACCTTTCCCTTCCTCTTCTGTGGACCCCCACATGTCGTGACCCCCACTCCCTGCCCAGCTCAGATTCTCTTTGACTGTGGAATCGCCAGAGAGGCTGGGGGCCAGTATTTCCCAGGTTCGGTCTGGCTCCCTCTCCAGAGACCTCACCCCGAAAAGCCGATCAGCGTGTTCTCAGAAAACACAAGCCCGGTGGAGATGGTTGCCATTTTCTTTACTAAGTGTTATTTTTTCCGTATTAGAGATCTGATTTCCTGCGATTCTTGGAGAGTACCGGGAGGAAGAAGTCAGGAAGCGGGCAGAGGGAGCAGTGACCTAGCGCCCGCTCGTGTCCGGCCTCCTCCTTCACGACTGCAGGACGGGGGTCCAGGTTTCCCACATCGGAGATGTTTGCGCAGAAAGAACAGTGTCTTTGTGAACGCATCCTGAGGCTGTGAGCAGAAGCTCCAGCATTTCCCCCTCGGGTCTGTCCCTCCCCAGCAGCGCGGTTTTCCGGGAGCGTCGGCTCCCTGGGCCTCTCCGTACCAGGAGACAGTACTTGGTTGTTAGATGATTTGGAGTTCCTTCAGAATAAAATATCAGGCAAGGCTAACTGACTGTTATTGTTGTAAAAGGCTTCTGTCTTGGGAAATAGCACTCAGTGAGAGGTGAGGAAAGCAGAAGGAAACCTTGAAAAAAGGAAGGCTCCGAAGAGTGCTCCAGAAGGATCTTCTGAGATCTCCCCTCCCCCACCCTGTCTTCGAGGAACTGGAGGGGTTTTCAACGGCCACTCAGAGGTCGCGGGTCTCCTGATAGAAAAGCTGTTACGGGGGGTAGGATTCGATTGATTTGATTAGATTTTTAACAAGAGCTCTCTGTAGGTACAAGACGAAAAGGAAACTATTTATCCAAGTATTCACTAGCGAGCCAATGGGATAACAGCGAGTTATCCCCTCCCAGTTACCGTTTTAATAGCTCATCAAAGGTTTAATATACTATCTCGTTTAGTATTCATAATAACTAGCGAGGTCAGGAGGACAGACCCTGTCTAAGCCCAGCTCCCTGCTCCTCTTTGTCTTTTGAAGGAGGAACCGAGGCCCAGGGAGGCTGGGTGACGTGCCCAAGGTCACAGCCGTGCTGAGCAATGATGCTGAGGCGAAAACATCACCCTGCTGTTCATTCTCCCCCATGTCCGGGTGCCGAGCAGCGCTGCACGAGGCGATCCCGCCCTGCTGTGACGAGATCCCAAAGATTTGGTTCACTCCATAGATGTTTATGTCTACAGTTGAGTTATTACAGTATTCTGGGAGTTCATTCAAAAGATGAGTGTTATTGTATTTTTATTAAAGTAATTTAGTCCATGTTTGAAGGTTAAAAACACAACCTCGTTATTGTATTTGGTCATTTATAAGATCAGGCATTTTTGGTTAGTATTGTGAAAACTCTGTGACCCGGGAGTTGGGATAAGGGTTAATTAATTTACTGACTAATAAGTACAATGAACCAAAGACTGTTCAGCCTCAGGGATTAGAGGCGCACGAGGCCAGTGGTCTTGGTGATGGGTCTGTGGCCCCCGCCTGCCCGTCTTCTGAGGAGCAAAGGAGGCCCCGACGTGGTCCACCGCGTCGGAAAGCACGTGCCCAGGGCATTTCACCCAGTCTCTTTCACTCGATTCCCGTGGTTTTGCCAGGACGTAGGCAGGACTCGCATTTCTTTCCATTTGATTGATGAAGAAAGAAATCTGTAAAGGGCTGTGCCTTGGCTCCCGTCAGTGGGGGCAGAACCAGGATCGGAATTCAGGTTCTCAGTTCCCAACTCAGTGTTCTTTCTCCCTCCTCGGGCTTTCCTCCAGCTCCAACGTGAGGGTCATGTCTACATCACTAATAATTTAGTCTATTGCGACAAAACACTTGGATGGTCCCAAACAAGTTATATATACTTTATTTGGGTCAGTTATTAAAATATCCTTTGAAACCCCTATTCCAAAAAATCATTTGAAAGAAGAGATTCTTGTCACCTGGAATGGGAGGGGAGGTGGATGAAGAAATGTCCTCTCAGGAACTTGTTTATTCCTGTAATTCTTTTGTTATAACCAGTACATGCAGACTTCAGCAAAACACGTAAATATGTAAAATGATCATTTTTCACCTTATGAAAGAATTGCTTGTTAGATTTCAGACTACATGAACACAGGGACCGTATCACATTTTTGAAGAGCCAGAATTTGCCCAGTGTGGCCTGTTGTGCCTGGCAATTATGTTTGATGAATGAATGAATGAACAAATGAACACAGAGAATTTTTAAAAATAAGGACGCAACATAGGTGTATGATTAAGATCGGGCCTCAGTGTCAGACATGTTTGAGATCCACTTTGGGCTGTACCACCTGCTAAATGTGAAACAATCTTCAAGTTAGGATCTAAGGCTCCATCTCGTCAGGTGTAAAGTGAAAACAATAATGGGCTCGCTCCCATCATTGTTGGTTTATTAATAAAAATGTATCAGGTGCCTACTGTATGCCAGGCACTGTTCAAGGCTCAGGAAGACATCTCAGAAAACACGGGTGGCAGGGACCCTAGACAACAAGCAAGGAGGTGCATAAGTAAGGAGTTGGTTACAATCGTGATGCAAGCTAGAAAGGAAGTGAAGTAATGCAGGCCAGCTGTGGACTTGCGGCTGCATCAGGTAGAATGCTAAGAAAAGCCTTCTCGAAGGAGGTGACATTGGAACTAAGACCTGGGGAGAAAAGAGTGGGCATCCCTGGGTAGAACAAAGGAAGAGCTTCCTGGAAGGGTAGCAAGAGCAAAGCCCAGGGAGGGGCCGGGGTTGCAGAGCTGGTGGGGCAGAATGGAAGCCCCTGGGCTGGAGCATGGGCAACAAAAGGGTACATGGTGGGAGAGAGGCTGAAGGTCAGCCGGGTCACGGAGTGCCTTGCAGGGTAAGGTCGGAGATGGGGGCTTTGCTGTGACAGCACTGGGGATCCACCGTGAGTCTGAAGAGGGGGCATCCTTATCCGATTGACATTTTTTTTTTTTAAAGATTTTTTATTTTTTCCTTTTTCTCCCCAAAGCCCCCCGGTACATAGTTGTGTATTCTGCGTTGTGGGTTTCTCTAGTTGTGGCATGTGGGACGCTGCCTCAGCGTGGTCTGACGAGCAGTGCCATGTCCGCACCCAGGATTCGAACCGACGAAACACTGGGCCGCCTGCAGCGGAGCGCGCGAACTTAACCACTCGGCCACGGGGCCAGCCCCTCCGATTGACATTTTTAAACAGTCCTCTGCTCGGTAAAGAGCATCAACACCCACCTAATTGCTTCTACGAAAAACCTGAGTCCTTCTTGGCTCCTCAGTTTCCCCTCTCCCTCTCCATCAACAAATTCAGGGAACTTGCCTCTGAAATACACCCCGAGCATCTCAGTTTCTCCCCACCTCCACAAAGACTGCCTTCTTCCAAGCGGCTGTCTCCTGTCCAGGCTATGGCAAGGCAACCTTAGACACTATACAGTTTCAGAGCTCATCAGACTTTCAAAGGGAGAGGTCAAATAGGCAGTTGGACGCTTAAGACTAAAGCTCAGGCTGGGGGTTATGTGAGATAACGTGCATAAACAGTTGGCACAGGACCTGGCTTCTAGAATGTTCTAAACACTTGATCGTTTAAAAAAATCATACCCATCCTCCTGGTGCTTTTCAACGTGCTGAAAAGATGAAGGGATTTGGAGCAGGAGACGTAGGTTTATGTGCTAGTTTAAGAGAAGTGTGACTCTGGACACGTCCTGATTCCTGGAGCCCTATTGCGTCCCCTGTGAAATGAGGATGTGGACACCTGTCCTTTCCATTGTGCAAGGCTGCTGTGAGCTGCAGATATGATGATGGAGGTGAAACTGCTTCGTAAGCTGAAAAACATCTTTTCATGAACAATCAACTACGTGAAATTATATTTAATTCAGTTACCTTGTATACAGGACCTCTCAGGTTCCTATACTGTAGGACCACAATACAAACTAAATTTTATTATCGAGCACTAGGGTCTTCAGCTTACAAGAAGACTGAGTCGCAAGCTCTTGAACTTCAGCCTTGAGTGGTCCACCAGTGCTGTCCGTAGACCTCTCTGGGGAAATGGTGCTGCCCAATGTGGTAGCCACTAGCCATCGTGGCTATTGAGCACTCGAAACGTGGCTAGAGTGATGAAGGAACGCACCTTTTATTTTTTTAATTTTAATTAATTTAAAATTAAATAGCCACGTGTGGCTAGTGGCTACTGTATTGGGCCGTACAAGTCCAAAAGCTCGACTTTCTCAGGACTCATCCATACCATGAGGACCCACGAAGGTCTTTTCTAGTTCTATACACGCTCTACATGCACAGTTCAGAAATAGACGAGCCAATTTGGATAAAATAAGGGGTGAATCCCGAGTCGCTTTTCTTATCCCCAAGTCAAAGCTAATCCTAGACAGCTTTTTTTAAAGTTCGTAACTGGCTTATCAATCAGCAACAGGAAAGACTTCAAAACAACAACACAGTTTCAAGTAAAAGACAATCCTGGAAGATGAACCACTTGAGAAACACATTCTCCTGGGAGTTATATTTTGATATCAAGTAGACTACTTGTTCCAAAGTTAATATTCTCCGTTTCTCATTAAGAAAAATCGCTAGGGAAAAAATATTTGGAATTGCATAAATAAACGAAAGGCTGCAGGGGGAATTGTTTATATGATGTTGACAGTTGCAAGGTCGTAAGGGGTTTCCATGATGAGGCTGGCACCAATTTTGTCTCTTTGCATATGGACTGTGTTCCTATTACTGGGTGTTTAGAACATAAGGTGAAATATAGAGAGAAACAGACAGGAGAGGAAGGTAACACGATTGAATTGTTTAGGGTAAAAGAAACAATGGAAAGGACTGAAGATGCAAGAAATGAGACAACTTCTGAAGGGGAGCGATGAATAGGGACTGAAATCAAGAAGACAGAGAGAAAACAGATTGGGGTAGGTGGGTGGGGATCAGGGAAGAAATTCCAGATCCACTTGTGAACTATGCCAGGAGCTAAGCCTGTCTGTGGAGGGTGGTGGAAAATAAGGAAGACCAGAAGAAAAATTACTTTGGAAAGAAAGAGAGTGACAAGGTAGTGAGGACAAGGGGGGACAGCTGTCATCTCATTTAATTAAGAAATTATTAATGGAACAGACGGGGCAGCCACAATGAGCCTTTACTGATGAGATGCTACTGAAATTCCAGACAATAGCAGCGGAAAAGTTATTGAGAACCAAAGTGGTAAGAAGGCTAATTTAATTGATAATAACATTATACTTAGCACAATGCTCAGGAATTTAAAAATCACACATTAAATAAATTTAAATGACTTCAGTTATCATCTAATTATGGTTGTTTAAATAATGTAATACAATTAAATGTTAAAAAAATAAAAAGCCCTAATAATTTTAAGTGAATTCTCCCTTGGAGCAGTTACCATTCAATCCTGCATTCCTTGTGGACGCATAGCGCCTGAATGGCCACACCCTCACAGAACGGAGGTAGTTGTTAGGTAGAAGAGGACAGACGGCAAATTTAGCTTCTAAATGCCTTACTTTTTTCTCCTCTGTCCCTGATTTCCAT